ATTAAGAACTTAATTCTTACAAACTATAACGGATCACAAAGTTTCCAAAATCAACGAACATTATTACTTTTGGTATTGAGGTTCATAGTCTTAGACATTGGTTAGCTATAATATATTATGACATAATCAATAAGTAATTGTATTGAAATAATTTATTACTCTGTAGGTAAGCTAAACAGTAAAATTAACCATTCCTCCCCCAAATTGAAACACTGTGCCCACAAGCTTTACTTTGAAAACCGTTGTGCAGTGTTGTGCCATCTTTCCACCACATTAATAGTGGATAGTTACCTGTCAAAGTTTTATAAAAGTTCTACAATTTTAATCATACTTTGAAATTTCGAATAATATACCATCAAATTGTTTTCGGAATAGCCCACAGTAAGTATAATAATGGCGTGCAAATATTCAAAACTTGTTTATGACATAACTTTACCCAATCAAAATGCATCAACTTTGTAATCAATGAGTTTATTTTTAACAACGTAAAATACTTATATACTAACTAATTAACGTATAAAATATAAATAATTATCATAATTTATAATGATCAAAATAAAACCACTGAGGTGATAATTTATTATTATAAGGCGTTGAATATAGGCAATTTAAGGACTAAATATTATTATGGAAAACAAAAATTTGATTTTTAGATAATATAATATAGATACATTTTTAATGAAAGTAATTTCTAGTTATCCATCGTTGCCCGTTGGTATCGAAAATACATATTAAAGTTAGGATTAAGATTCATAAACATTAAAATATAATTTACACAATGTTCAATATTCATATATAATGCTAATATTATATATATTCGTGTAAGTCGTACCTAGTAATTTATAATTTTACCGAAAATTCTATCAGCAATTAGATGACCACCAGATGCCATTAACATCAATGGATATAATTAATATTAAATAGATTAAGGATATTGAAGTACCTACATTGTATTTAAACCCTCCCGTCCCCTCCCTTTAATTTGAAATTCGTAAAAAAAATTGTATCAATATTTGTACATCGTTTATACATTTAAAATAGCAATTTATATTACAAATTTAACATTCATGGAAAAAATAATGTAACTTAGCTAACGGGTTGTATATACTTATATCTAATATCTTAAGTTAAGTACCAATTTTGTTTTAAATTTACAATTATTTCAATTATTTGATTTTTCAGATTTATACGATTTAGAGGATGTCAGCCTATTTTTTTCTCTTTCTGATCCACATGCAATATAACAAATTGCATGGTCACAATAACGATCATAATCATAAAAGTTACTAAAATTAGTATGAAATTATTTGTATGACTAACCTCTTATAACATTTAAAGATAAGATTGTTATCTCGGTAAGGGGTGGTAAATTATTTTGACACTACGTGCCAAAAATAACTTTAATTTATTTTTTGAGAGAGACATTCAACTATGTAAAATATTATATGTATAAAATATTTATATATAATATATATATATAATATTATATTGCATTCGGTATGTTATCTACGTTCTTAACGAATATACTTATTTAATATTTTCTGAAAGGCGTCAACTATACTAAAAAAGTACAAACATTGTGAATCGTGATGATATTCATTATTAAAAGTAAAAATAATATAAACAATATACATAATATAATATAAATATTTTAATTTTCGAGTGCTGCTTATGGAAATTCTTGATTTAAGGCATCTTTTAAGCTTTTTTATTATATTTTAATTTTAAAGCGAGTTCTGATTATTTTAAAATAATCGCTTTAAAATTAATATATAATAAAAATCCTATGAGATGCCCTAGATAATTATTTTACCTTAAAATTGTATAAGAGGTAATTTCACTCTAATTTTAAAAATTAATATGAATATAATCATTATTTTAAACGTAAAAATTGGTTTGTTTCACGTGGGTTGGAGAGAGAAAAAAATACACTGGCATTCTCTTAAGAGGACTTGATACTCGTATGCGTTGTCTCCGACTTACAAATGTACAACATAGCAAACATTTTTTTTGGACTGGATAGAACCTCTTCCTCGATATTTATAGTAGAATTACCAAAATTTCACAACGCAAGGGAACAACTTTATCTGTGTCGTAGCGTTTTTATTATTTGTATAACATAAATAAAAGTTATGTTATCAGTTTGAGAACATTAGAATTTTTTTTGTATTTTTCATTTAATTACTAAACATTATTGGTAAATGCTATAAAAAAAAAATTAAAACACTACGACACAGATAAAGTTATTTCCTATGCGTTATGGAGTTTTGGTGATTCTACTATAAATATCAAAATAGTTTTTAGCTATGTTGTACATTTGTAAGACGGAGACAACCCATACGGGTATCACGTCCTCTTAATCCATTTATACTTGTGAAATTGTCATGTTTAATAAATATATCATACATATATTATAATATATTATATTAATATGTGTCTGAAGGGCTATTATATTGATTGGAAATCGTCTATATCATAATATATCCTAAATCCTATCATTATTATAAACATACATTACCTACCTATTATAGTATTTTAAATATTGAATTTTATTTTTCCAGACCATCAATATTATTAAAAAATTGCGTTATTTTTTCGGAAAGTTTGTTTCGCGTAGCTAGCAGCATAATGTTGCTGAATTGTTGATTAAAACAAAAAAAGGTTCTTTGGTCGAATATGCGTGCAAGTTTCTGCAATCACACTATCGGTTTTTTGTTATATCGTGTGCGTATATACAGCTACACGTACATTACAATGTTAATTAATACCACGGATAAAACGATACTAATAATTGGATGGTTTTTTTTCTCACAAATATAATATTGTAATTTACTCTCAAAATATGCGCTGTTTGCCATCGGTATAATGATATTATGCGCATATAGCGTTCCCGCGGGTGTGTAGGTACCTACTCGGAATTGGATTAATTATTATACAGAGTTACTATTTGTTTCCAAGTGCACAACGAGCAAAAACCGTTGTTTAATAATCTCGGTAGAAATGCTCATAATAGTACCTATAGTATATAGTATATAACACCTCGGGTGATTCAACAAGCATATTATGCATGGCCACCCGAATATTTTTCTTCAGTTGTGTATAACTATATTTCAGTAGTATATTTATTCATATTCGAAATTGTAAATTGTTCAAGTAGATACTTATACTTAAACTCAGTCTTAAAGACTTTATTTATATAAGAATCAAAGTATTTTAAATTACAGTCTTTGAGTATGTTTAAAAATCTCAATAATCGAAATTTAAATAAAAGCGTTACTAAGTCTTGTAAAATAATAATTGGTGGGTGAGCACATATTTTAGTGAATTATCCAGTACAATAATAAGTATATTATTTACAGTGTGGCCCACCGCTGTTTACCGTTGGCTCATGTGTTGGTTAAACGAAAAAGTTGGAAAATGCAGTGGACTACCCTGTACTCATAAAAAATAATAGTTATAGTGGCGCCAGTTATTATATTATGTGTATATACTGTCAAGGAAACTATTTCAACCGTGTCTTAGATCCGCAAGTCTGCAAGTCGCTCAACCAATGAGAACGACGACCTAAGCGTTGATTATTACGTCCAGCACGTCAGTGTTATATTATTATTTTACTACTGAACTTATAGTATAGCTATTGTAAGTTGAAAGTTCTGTACAAAACATTCCACTCCTGAAAAACAAAATCGACGTCTTAATACACGTATTTTGTTTGTTCAACATCGTGATAGGAATGTAATTATTAATTATTACTTCGTTGCTAATAATTTCCATGTTATCATCTTACACCTGCGTTTCATTAAGAATAAATACTGGGACCCGATTAAAATAATAAATATAAACAATATGTTCTGGTATCAACTTTATTCATGAGCTCATAGGCGTAAACTGGATGAGGGTACTCGTAGTATTTTATAAACTTATTAGAAAAATATTATCGAAAAGACATTTTAGATTTGTAAGAATTATTTTATCAAGAAAAGTATTTTAAACGATTAACTATATTGAAAAAAATTAATTGTATGACATTTTCATGCTACAATAAAGATTTAGCTTAGACAATATTATATCATTTTCCACAGATTAAATATATTATCTAGACTTTAAGTATACGGCATATCGACGTAAAATAAAGTCCCCCATCCCCATAAAACTTTCCCAAGTTACGCCCATGCATAAGCTCATTGTACGAGTGCTTGTGTGTAGGATGTTATTATATTTCTGCATATATTATAAATGTATTTATATTAATCGACGATATAAGAGCTGGGTACATTAGCTGATTAGAGTACGAGTGTGTATAATATTATTATGTTTGATTAATACATAATGTTTCTATATTCTAAGAGTACCTACCTATTCATATTAATCGGCGATAAAAAAATAAAATAAAATGTTTTATTGGGTAGTTGTTGATATATTTTATTATGTCTTACTAATATATTATTATTCATATTTGTTTGGGTTGTATATATTTTTTACACATAGTATTATACTATTCATTATATATATATAACCTATATATACCTACTAATGAAATAGACTAATGTCTAATACTTCTTAGATATATTTTCGACAGTGTTAACTACATTGATATTGTGATTGTGCCACAGACATATTATAATATTTGATAATCCATAGCTGAAACTATTCATAGGCTGCAACCCGTTCAGTAGCACAACTTGTATGGACATATTAAGACGAAAGACAAGTGTTTGAATTTAGCGGCAAATTTTTTTACACCATTAATAAGCCATGAAGAGCTTTCGTGCAATTAGTATACGCACGGTGATAGCTTATCATAATATTTTATGCTTACGACGAGAAAACGTGATAATAAAATTTAATAACTTATTTCGTCGCTTAAAATGTATGTATATTTTTTTTTTATCATATCATGATATTGTCGAATAAATATAAATAAATAAATTATGAACGTATTCTTAACACTATTAAATATAAATATGATCTTTGTACTGCTGTAGTATAGTAGCGCGTATTCAGTTCAAGCTTCTCCTCCTTCGCCACTTGTTCTCGGTGCTGGCCTCATTGGGTGCAGCTTCGGCGATGGCACAGCTGTTCTGGTCTGTCTTGCGGAAGTAACTCTTGCTCAACTTGTACTTGTCCAACACTCCGTAGGCCTTCTGCATGACGGTACCCGGAGCTAACTTTTCACGAGTCATGATCCATGCGTTTTCTGTGAAAATCAACAGACGCATCAAATATCAGTACAATATTCGGTATTATAGTTTATTGTTTATCACTGAGTAATCGAATTATATGGAAAAGTACTTACGTGTGTTGGCCACTCCATAAGACGAGCAAGACCAAACGACGGCGAAGGAATCGTAGTCGGTTTCCAAAATCATTTGTTCGGTGGAGTAAGAGACTGCAAAGTGTAAATAAAAATAGCACTGGTTATTTACACTCGAATTTTACGCGATAACGTAAAACGATACCTTCAAGAGTTTCGAATTACGGACGAAATTGATATCGTCAAAAGCAAAATGTCTGGTTTTCATTTTTTTTTTCTTCAGATAAACCGTGATTTAAACTCAAAATAAAAATGTATAATATTTACTTGGCAATGTTGTGTACTTGACGTTCATTTTTGAATCAGCTCCTTTGACGATCAATCTGATTTCACCATCCAATACGCGTTTCACCCCGGTGCTATGAAAACATAAAAAAAAAAAAAATGTCAAGTTATTTTAATATCAACATGTCAACAGCAGGCGTTGGCCAATTATTTTACTTACAATCTGTTCATGATTTCGTTGGAAACAAGGTATCTACCGTCGACGGCTTTCGTGTAGTTGGTTTTCACGCAACGAGTTCCGAGCTCAAAGATGTTTACGTAGTGTTCGGCTTCGTACCATGTTCCCAAGTACTGTGGAAAAAAAAATGTATAATTAATTCATATATTATTATTATCTTATTATTAGGATTTTTTCATTTATATTTCGTATAATTGAATCAAATTTTTATAAAAACTAATTTGTCCAAAAACAAAAGTGAATAAATAATAATACATAATATTTCAATCATAATTTTGGAATTCGTTTTAAATTAAGTAAATTAATGATTATTTTTAAATCGTTTTTCATAACATAATTATTATGGAAACAATGTTTTAAAACTCATTATGGTATAATAATATTCATAAATTAAAATAAAAAAAATTATCATTTAAAACACTTTTTTTCATCAAAACTAAATTAAAGCTGAAACTATAAAATTAAGTCCTAAACATTAAAATTAAAAGTCTCTGTTTATCGAATAATTATTTTTTTTAGTTAAACGTCATTCGTACACTACACCATAAGTTTTTATGTCTTGGACGTGAGATGTAAATAATAATAATATAATATAAAACCCATAGCGTGCCAATACCACCTTAATACGGAAAAAAAAAGACTCCCTATTATAAAAAATATTACAATGTAGGTAGGTATCTATACTACTATTATGAAAATCAAACCAGAAACCTAAACCAGCTAAAAGTCACGAATAATACTATTGAATTATCATAACCACCATCAACAGTCATCGTATTTTACGATAAAACGAAATGGAATCTCAGCTACTTATGATAGTTATGATAGTAATATGTATTGCAGGTATAGTCCTAACATCAATTGAAGCCTTTATAAAAACTAATGGCGAACGATACCTATACTGATATCGATGATATCTGACCAACCGACTACTATCAATGTCGGAAAAACCATCGGGAATTAAATACAGGAACCAGGATGCTTACTCTGTTCATATCGAAGTCTGGGTGTGAGTCGAATTCCGGACATCCGCCGATCGCGGGCACTTGGCAAGACACCATGGCGGCCGACATGCACACCATCAGCAAAACCAAATTCTTGTTGAACACCATTGTCGTTGTGCGGTGTTAGTTGCGGAAACTAAAATCCTCTGTAACCGTGGTTGATGTCGAACTGTTGCGTAGATACGTCCGGTTTGGAGTACAAGACGAGTGTGATGCTGGACTGTGGACCGACGGTCTTTTTATACGCGATGGACGCTCGCACTCGCTCGTCTGGAAAGTCCGGTAGGTGTGTGTGTGTGCGTGTGTGAGTATGTAAATTATAAAACTCCACCACGTCTCCGTCGTTATTATTATTATTATTATTAAAACGATATATCAAATATCTTTTTCTGTCATGTGAGAACGAAAATCCGAAACGGTAATCTACATTCGGACGTGAAACGTTCAGTTCGAATCCTGCTGCTATTGGTACGCCGGGGGAGCGGTGGTGGCCTTTTACCAGGGGGTTTTCGGGTAGGCGAGAGAGGCGTAGAAGTCGACGAGAATAGGTATAACACCCGCTGCAAGATCCCGGCTGCTGTGTCCATCGAGCACGATAACGTGGGGGCGGTCGACGAACTCCATCGGCCTGGAGACCGGTTTCCAGCGCATAAACGCATATTATACCGACTACAGTGTATTCACTACGCGTTATACATACATACATTAATTATATATGTATATAATATAATACGTTAGTGTGAGCGAGTGTGCTGGTGAAACCCCTCACGCGAGCTGCTCACCTATCTGATATATTATGTCTCCGCGTGACCCCATAACGGATTCCGGGTAACGGGACCGCTTGGATTTACGATCTGGTACTTATTGTGGCGTTCTACAAACAGGGTTTCCACCAGCGGCCCACACGTATCATTTATTTCAATTTTTTACGTTTCCTTTGTCGTCGTCCAATCGTATCATACTTATTGTACTTGCCTATTTTATGACGGCAGTTATAAGCCCGAACACTGCCAATGGGTGATTCTGCGGTTCGTTTGATGTAAAAAACATTATCGTTTACATGAAAATCAATATTTTATCTGGATTTAAACTGTACCATAAGTTGATCGATTTCAAGTTGTTCAACTCTGAAATTGCAAATAGGCATAGGTATGATAGTGTTGGGTGGTTTTTGAGTTTTACTTTCCTTATATAAATCAGTCAAAACTAATATAATATCAAGATGGCGATGCGCATAAAAAATAGAATCGCGGAAATAAACGACACGGAAAAAAACGTCAGGTAAAAAACGTTTTTTTCAGTGTCGTTTTTTACCGATTACCTAAAAAATAATAGTCCTGATTTATTCTGCAGTATAAATCAGAATTACAAAATAATTATTTCAAAAGTTTTCAAACATTATACTCACCTACATAATAAATATCACGCCCGATATGTAAAAATCAAATATAATTTTTGGGGAAAAACAAAATTGGACTTTTTTAGTTTGCTGGAATTGAAAATGTTTTTTTTTTTTTTTTTAGAAACTTATAGAACCCTTTACGGTAAAAGTTCTCTAATAATATTTTACTGCATACACGATGACTAATGGGTGATACACGGTTGCGTGGTATTGGACAAAAATTGTCATTTTCAACACGTCTTTAAAGCTTATTTCATATGATATTACAGCGACTTATGGTGCATGCAGGTTCAATAACATTCAATCAACAATCGGGAAGCTTTGATTGAATAGTAAATGACTAATGAATAATAAATAAAATAAAATCTATAGGCATTAATCGAGATAGGCCATAGGGGCACGTATTATATACGATACGCGATCGATCGGCAACAGTAATTGGAAACGTCCACCGACAAATGTACCGCGAATACCGATAGGTACCTAAACAACACGACGATAAAAAATTGTATTCGCAAACTGCAATTAACAACACTACTCATTATAGTCATACAATTTTTTCCGGTACACCACTTCAAATTGCAATGTTATTATAATTTATAGCTTTGGTCGGTTTATTCAGAAATGATTACCAGTTATACAATTTGTCACAATATAATATACTGTAAGTATGTGTATATTGTATGACATATTTTTATTTTTAATCGATCTACCTAAAGGAGTACACAAAACTAAGTAATTTTTATTACGATTTATTTCACATTTTTATGTACATACATTTTTTCATTAGAAGCTATAGGTAAAGGTAACCAATAATCTATTTGGCGTATCATTGAATTCTCGATCTGAGATTAAGATTAGGTTGAATCATTATGAGCATTTACGAAAAAGATAATTATATAAATTGCATAGGTACATTACCTGGCATATTATGCTATTATACATTTTTTTTTTCAAAATACAGGACCCCATTGGGAAGACTCGTGTAGAATTCTAAATTACAATATAAGTACATAAATATACAGTATTAATAGTAAAGATACAGTAAAGAAGTGCAATAAACAGGAATATAAAAAGGCGGAAAAAAATACAATTCATGAGATTTATTTTGTTGAGATGAATTAAAATTGTCTAAGGGTATTGATTGCTTCCGAGTTTAGAGCTTAAAGATACATCATCAGCAGTATATATCATAAATAACATAATATTGTTTTAAGCTATCGGAATAAGTATTGTTTAAAAAATTTCCAATATTTAACTGATAAATCAAATTGAATAAGGTTTGGTGAAAACTTAAATATTCTCTAAACATAATAAAATAGATATAATAAAAATTGTTTCTTTATACACGGTCTTCCAAATTTCTTGTGACAAAAGTTTTGGGTATTATGCTAGGTCTTACGCGATCTCTACGTAGATTTATTGGTCACGTAATGTATAAATATTACTATAAAATATGTTTATCCCAGAAATGTTTTGCATTTTCATATCAATAATAATAATGTATTTAATTATAATTTAGGTAGATGAATTCAATAGCAATTGGGATTGATTTACGAAGAATCTCAATGAAATAACGTAATGACATAGTTATACTGTTTTTTGGTATTCAGTTATTTAATCAATTATTTAAATATTTCATTCGATTAATTTAGAGGGAATTGTTGAAGTTAATTGATGACTAGATGTTGATGGATAATTTGATTACGCGTGTAATTGGTTTTTGAAATATTTAAGGTAAATTCCAAATAGTATTAACATTATTGATTATTATAATAATAAAATACAAAAGATGCAATACAGCGTAAATTAAATTATATTTTAAAAAATAATTAAAATTAAAATATTTTACTTCGTTTGTTTTATATCCATAATAAAAATGTTGCAGCTAAATCATAATTAATCAAATTTTAATACTTTGAAAAGTAATTGGCTTAACATATTAATACAATATTATAAACTACTAAAATATCTTGTATCACTATTAGCTATAAATTATAATGCAGTATATTTCCTTTTTCCTTTTGATATTGTTTGTTTATAAGTAATTCTGAACTAGTTTATTATTTTATCTGAGAAAATTAAATAAATTGGTATATTTATGTACCTACTAAATAAGTTATCTTTATCGACTACAATATTAATGAACTGAATACATGTATTTATTAGTTTTTCGTTTATGGCTTATAATGTTTATATCTAATATAATATTATACGATAAAATTTGTCAAGTAATGGATAATTAAATTGAAGGTACCTATATAATTATGCTATATATAGGTATTTTAATATATTAAATTGAACTCGAGCTGTATGTAAACAAATTTAATACTATTTAAATTTAAAAAATAAATAAAATGTTTTTACACATCATAGATCGTAATGTCAAATTAATCAGTAAATTGTATGTATAAAAGTGGTCTTTATTTTTTTTTTTTTATCTTTATTACTTTCGTATAACCAAATCGAGAGTCGTAACAACAATCCTTCCGTTTAGTGTCCAGATCGTATATAATTTACTACAGGCGACACCATGCATATAATATAATAATGTAGTACACTATACTCGGTTGACCTACATGTTTTCACCAATAAACTTGAATTTATATTATGGTTTTGTATAACTAGATGTGATCTTTTTTTATTGTAATAGTTTACTCTTTTCTTTTCTACAATGTATGCACTCACCTACTACGTCACATTATAATATTATAATACTCCCGTATAAGACCGTTATACACCAACAACTTTTTTGGATTCTTAAAAGTGTAGGTAACGCCTAAATATACTTTACCTACGTTCATAAAATATTTTGTTTTGTTGCCAACTTACTAGTCTCTACATTATGCTTAAAATATATTAAGTATAGTGGTACATGTGAGTATGTGTGATAACGTGTAATAAAAAGTAAAAACCGCCTAATTAGGTGAATAGGTGAAATTATTATAGACGCGATATAAGAAAAGATGAGGCGTATAAATCGATATGCAAAGCACAATACTAATATAATAATAGTCGTTTGCCTTAGGAAAATTTAATGCGGTATAGATATTTATGAACGATCTTCGACTGATTTTTTAAACAGACATTTGTCATAACTCAAGTATCATAATAGCTACTGAGTTAGATAGGTACCTACATAAAAAAAATAAATAATACAATAAAGTTCTTAACAAAACTATTGTTTTATTCAGAAGTTTCCCACGTCTGTTTCAAAAGGTCTATAAAGTCATAAATTATTATAAGACAATGCAAACTTAATAGTTTATCAAGTACCTAATATAGGTATTTTATAATAAAATAATTGAACTTAAATTATTTAATTTACTAAAACTTACACATTTTTTCATAATACAATAGAAAAACGTCATTTTTTTTTCAAATGCAGTGGAAAAATAAAACATTGTTTCCACAAGGATGTGTTTATTTTTAATACCTAGTAATTTTTTTCTTATTGTACATATTTACAAGATCAATATAGTTAATTATGGTTATGTTTCAAATTACGATTGTATGAAACCACTATTTACAATATTCACAAATAATTATTCATCATGACTATTGTTAAACAGTTTAACAACTGCAGTCACGTCAGGATTTTATATGTAGCCATGTAGGTACCTACTTCCTACCCGGTACACCGTTGAAATCCATTTTATTATTGGTATGCAAAAACATATCCTTCTAAATTATGTTATGATTGATG